CCCCCAACCCCTGCTGGTGCTCCTCGCTCCCCACCCAAATCCCCCTGCCCCCCCTCCCCAGCCCTGTCAAAGGGGGCCCGCAGCTGCCTGGGCTACAGGGCCAGGGACCCAGGTCCACAGCCCCCTCTCCCCCCCAGCAGCACCCTAGCCCCAGCTGCTGCTTACAGGAGATGGCAGGGGCTGCAGTGAACTAGAGCGCAGAGCCTGGCTCCCCCAACCCCCGCAGGTGGCATCACGAGAGCAGAGCCCATGGGGGGCACAGATGCAGGCTGCTTGCTGTGGGCTCAGGTTCCCTGCCCTGCCACCCTCCCCCTGGGGTCTCCACGGTTCAGTGGGCAGGACCCAGCATGGCAGGGCAGGCTGGGACCAAATGAGGAAGCTCATTGCCGCCACTGGGAGCTCCACACCGCCATGACGAAGTGTCCCCTGCCTGCCCAGCAGCAGTGAGGGGCACAACTCTGTACTGCCACCCCTGCTGGTGCCCGGTGGGCAGGGGGTGCTTTGCCAGGGTGACATGGGATTTGCAGCACCAAGGAGCTTCCCTGCTCAGTCCCACTCTGCCCTGCCACACTAGGTCCCAGAGACCCTGAGGGAAAGGTATCAGGGCAGGAAGCCTGAGCCCGAGCCCACAGCAGGCAGCCTACACCTACCCCACCACAAATCTGGGGGGCACGTGCCCCCCATGTCCCCTGGGAGCACACGTAGCAGCAGGGAGCCAGCCCCAACCCCCCACCCTGGATGAGCCGCCTGTAGCCCCATTCCACTCCCCACTCAGGCCCTGCAGCTGCACTTTGTTGCCTCAGGCCCCAGGACCCACACACCACCCCAGCTGGGCAGGAGCCCCCGCCCAGTCCCCAGTCCTGCCCAACTCCTTTCTTCACTATGAGAGCCTCAATCCCCATCCTGCCAGACTTGCCTGCAGGAGCTGCTCTGCAGGCTGCCTGGCGGCCATGTGTGTGAGCACATGGCACCCCCTGCTTGACCACCCTTCTTCCACTCCCCCCAGCCCCTTGTAGGCTGGAACTCTGCCAGCCTGAAGAGAGCTCTGCAAAAGTGGAAAATCTGCATGTTTCTCCATTAAAATGAAAATTGTGGTTTTTTCCTCTTCTTTTCTTCTTTTCCACGGGAAACAGAAAACCCAGTTCCCAGATTTTAACTAATACCAATTATATAAACTTTATTAAAAAACATTATAAAAAGGAGTTTACTGAAATTGAATGCTAACCTTAAGATAAGCAGTTCATGCTATGCATTAAATGTCAGCAAGCTGCACCAAGCCACAGTGGCTGGAGACATTCTCTGGCTCTGTGTGGTGAGCACTTGTCCCTACACTGAGATGGCATGCTCAGTGTCCACTCAGTTTGTTGAAATGGTGAGGCAGCGTCTTGCCAGGTCATAAAGATGTGGAAACCAGTCACAGACATAGGCACAGACACAGGCATCCGGCACTCTTTGACTAAGTTCACATAAGCAGAACATTCATTGCCATGCTCTGGGGCAGCCAGCTGTCTGAACCTTGGTGGCAGGGACAGGTCATACCTGTAATAATGGTTCAGTTTCACAGCTGTTGTCTGGAACAGGTCCCTTCTGCACTGGTTTTCATGAGGGCAGCTTGGCAGTTCTTGAAATGGCCTGTCTTTGGCCCAGCTTATCAAATCCATCACCTTGTGTACATGGTGGATCACAGCTTGCTGGCCTTCAACTGAGGTCAGGAGCTCCATGAACCAGACAGCGCTGTCAGCCGCAAACATCACTTGATCTGGAATGTCGCCTCACCCTAAGATATCACGAAGCTTGAGCACGCACTATGCACTGGGTGTGATTTCCAGCTCCTCATTCATAAACTGCTGGTAGTGCTGCATATGCTTGGCATGGTAACAGACACCAAATGCACCACACATAAGCACAGGCTCTGGTGGCAGTGGCACAGTGGCATGTGAGTCCCCACTTCGAATGGCAATGGACTCCCTGTACTGGACCTTATGGCCTGGACAGTGGTTGAAGGCTTTCTTGAAGGAGCATACCAGACTATCCACATCAGGGGACTGTGTGTTCTAGATGTCACTTACTAAAGACAGAATGTGCACATTGCAGGTGACATGAACAGTGTTGGGTAGCATTCCCTGGAGAGAAAACCTTGGACATGTGCATGGCATAGGAGAAAATGCTACCCCTCACCATGCCAATCTGTTTTCTGTGGTCCTTTTAAAAAGGGAGGACATGGTTGCTTGCTTCTTGCTCTGACCATCAGCCTCTGCAGCAGCCTTCCTATTCATGTGTGCCTTGGACTCCAAGTGATGGCCTATCTGGTTTTCTTGGACACATCCAAGTAAGACTGCAGGAGGTACAGAAGGGGCAGAAGAGTCATGTGTGCATATGTGGGTGTGTGGGAGGGCTACCTTGGCGCTAAGTCTCCCAGGTGGTGTGGTCTGCAGCTACTCTCACAGGGCTCCACATGGGGCCAAGCCCCACCCAGGGCAGCCCATGCTGAGCTGCAGCCTGTGCCCACTAGCCTGGCCCTGGCCAGCATGCACAGCTTACCAGCAGGGTTGCTTCTAGTGTGGCTGCAGCCAGCCAGGTGCTGCTCAGCTCCCCTCACCTCTGGTGGTAGCTTCTCCTGCTCTTGCTGTGCTGCTCTGGACTGGGATGAAGCTTCAGTCGGGAGGCTCCTGCCCCAGCACATAAGGCAGCTGGGAGCTGGAGCTGGAGCCCCGTGTACTGGGGCAGGAGCTGCCCGGCTGCAGCTTCCTCCCAGCCTGGAACAGCACAGCGGGAACAGGAGGAGCTACCACTGGAGGTGAAAGGATCCAAGCAAAAGTCACACCAGAAGCAACCCCTCTGAAAGCTGCATGCAGTGGCCAGGGCTGGGTTGAGACTTGGCCCCATGCAGAGTGCCATGGAGGGCCAGATCCAAACAATTAGTAGGTGCCCTTCCACGGGCGAGATCCAATCAGTTGGTGGGCCAGATCTGGCCCGCATTTTGCCCACCCTTGATCTAGTCTCTATTTCCTTAGCTTGTTAATGAGAATTTTGTGGGAGATAGAGTCAAAAGCCTTGCTAAAATCAAGATATATCACATCCACTGCTCTCCCATCCACAGAGCCTTTCACCTTATCATAGAAAGAAATCAAGTTGATCAGGTACAACTCGCTCTTGATGACTCCATGCTGGCTGTTTCTGATTACCTTGTTCTCCTCTAGGTGCTTCACAATAAAAGTCCTTGAGGACCTGCTCCATGATCTTTCCAGGATTAAGATCAGGCTGACTGCTCTATAATTCCCTGGGAATGTCTTGTTTTCCTTTCTTTAAGATAAGCACTATTTTTGCCCTTTTCCAATCATCTGGGACCTCACCCAACCTCCACAAGTTCTCAAAAAGGATAACTAATAGCTCTGAAACTATCTCAGCCAATTCCTTCAGTAGCTGCGGGTGTATCCTGTTTGGCCCTGCCAACTTGAAAGCGCTTTGTTTCTCTAAGTAATCCCTAACTGGTTCTTCCACTACTCTGGGCTATTTGTTTGCTTCCCTACCTTCACTGACAATGGGATTCATCAGTTGGTAGCTGATTTGATTCATGAAGACTAAAGTTAAAAAAGGCCTTGAATACTTCAGCCTTCCATAGCTAGATTGCCTTCTGCATTCCTTAAAGGACCCGTGGTTTCTCTGGTTGCCTTCTTACTTCTGACATAATTTTAGACTTCCTTGTCAGTTGCATCTTGTTTTTCCTGATTTTCAGCCTGCACACCCATGTGATACTCATACTCTTCCCTAGTAACATGACCATGCTGTTGTGTGCTGGGGACATGCCTAGCTTTAGTTCACTAAAACCTCATCTCACTGCAGACAGATTGGTGCATGCAATGTTATGGATTTCAAGCTAGTGGCAGGGAGCCGGGCTGTTGGCAACCTCCAGTGTGTTGTGTTCAGTCTGTTCTCTGGCCTGGACAAAGGCCTAAATAAACACTGACCACAAATATTCAGGGATTACCAGGTGTATTTGTGAGCAGGCCCAGATGCTTCTGATTCTTAACACAAAGGATTCTTCATTGAAAATGTGTCCTGAAAGAGGCATTAGTCAGCATCTATTTTACATGAGTTGCCTATGTAAAAAAGTTGCAATCTAATAAAATAGCAAGAACAATATGCTATGACTTAAGGTATAGAAAAAGGTAACAATTATGTAAATAAGGAAAGGTCCTGATACAAGTTGTTATGATGATTCTGTAGCAATACAAGTAAAACAGAAGTGCTCCAACTTAAACACTGTTTCATTTGGTGTCAAAGCTGGGATGATTCAGCTCACTTGTACTGCTATAGCATCATGCAGACGTAACAGGGAGATCATAAAGCTGATGAACTTTCCTGAGCAACAGCCCCCCCCTCCCCATTTAAAGTAGCTAAAACACACATTTGTCTATGCCCTTGGGCCAGGAGTGGGCAAAATATGGCTGGCAGGCCACATCTGGCCTGCCAGGCCATTCTGTCTGCCCAGAAGGCCCCTAAAAAATTTAGAAAATTAATATTTATCTGCTCCTGGCTGCTTGTCAAAGATGGCAGGAGCCAGAGGCAGTAGGACCCAGGGGCCAGCAAGAGCCAGCAACAAGGCCAGCCCAGCTCCACCCCCCCGCCCAGCTCCCTCCTACCCTCGCCCAGCCAACTGGAATCCTCTGCCTGTCCTGACTTTCACTACTTTCCTGCGCGCCTGCTGCAGCACCATGTTGTCTCAGGCTGCATCACCGGACCGCAGGAGCACAGGGCCGCACCAGTACCCTGGGGCCAGGAACAGGAGAGGTGTGTGTGTATGTGTGTGTGTGTGTGTGTGTGTGTGTGTGTGAAATGATGGAGGGAGAGAGACAGAGAGAGCAATGAGGGAGAGAAAGAGAGAGAGTGCATAGTGTGGGAAGCACAGAGTATGTATCCCTGCCATACACGCAGACCCCCACACCTCCTCACACACTCCAGCCACCCTCCCCGCCACACACAGCCCCCCACACCCCACATATCCATACACCCACATGCTCCCTCACCCCACCCCCACACCCCCACACCAATACCCCCACAAAACCCCACACACACCCACACCCTCCCCCACACCCCAGATACCCACACACTCACCGCCCCCACAAACCCACCCTCCACACTTCCACCCCCAAATATACAAGAGTAAGAGTTAATTTTAAACTATTGTGCAATCACCTCTATGTACATTACACAAACACATGTAAATCAAGACAAAAATATTTTTTGAAGTCAATTAATGTTGTAGATGTTCCATTTTTAGAACATAATTTGGTATTTTTCTGGTTCTGAGATGGCAAAACCCCTTGCTGAAAGAAGTACTCCCCGGGGCAAGGGGAGGGACTTCTGGTGGCAAAGGTTGGGGGTTAGGGGGCGGGACTTCTGGTCCCAAGATGGCAACCAGGGTATGGGGCACCTGTCAGGGGGCGGGGCTACCCATGTGGCCCTCAGCAGCTTGCCAAAACTCAATAAGTGGCCCTTCGCCCAACATAATTGCCACCTTAGGCTTTCAGATTCCATAGGACCATGGGAATTGCTAGACTGGATTGATCCCAAGGTCCTCTACCCAATCTCCCATCTGTTCTGATGCCCAGTACCAGCTGCTGCAGAGGAGGGCATAAGAACCCCAGTGGCAGACGGGAGGTGACTGACATCCGTGCTAAGTCCCAATCTCTGGTAGTCAGAGACTGGCTTAGGTGTAATGTGTGAGGTTTAAAATGAACAAGATGTGTGGAACACGGATAAGTACATTGAAGTAGATGCTTTACAAAGTATACAGCTATTCAGAGAAAAAGAGAAGCTGAGAGGAAGATGACAAATCGTATATCAAAACTAATAAATAGGGGATAGATAAAGGTTGTTCACTGCTTGCCTAAACACTCTGATGAATACTCAAGAATGAGCAAGACTCAAGATCTGTTTGAAAGGGATTTCTGAAGGTTAACAGGCAATATTTAACAAACAGTTTTTCACATGAATGCAATCTGATCATCTGTAATGTGTTCCAGGCAGGTCACTAGAGGCAGCACAAGCTGCAAACCTCCTCGGTGACTGTTTCACCACCTTCTGGAAAGCACACCAGGCTGTGAAGTGCTCATTGCAAGCAGGTTGAAGGCCTAGTGGGAAATGCTATTTACCAAAGCTCATTTCAGTGTTTAATTATAAACCATTAGCTCT